CCTGCCGGCTCCGATGTTCCCTGAGGTGGCCAAGCACTGGCTCCAGCGCCTGGGACACATGGGAAGAAAGGGCTGGGGGTCTGGCTTGGCTCACAGGGGCCTGGTTCAGCTCAACGGGGTCCAGCTTGGCTCAGGGGGGTTGTGGAGAACAAACCTGCGTGGACAGAGGCGGCGGGGGCCAGCAGCACAGCACGGAGAACAAGCATCATCTCCAGCGGCGCAGCAGGAAGTGCCCTGGTGCAGTGATTCTGGGGAATCTGGGCGGCAGAGCGGGCGGGCTCAGGGGTGACTCCAGCACAAACCAACCCTCGCCATGCTGCTGGGACACGAATCACACACACACACAGACCCAGACCGAGCCGTCCACCACCTCACCCGATGAGGGGCCGGTCAGACCTGAAGACCCCGACTCGTGCACCACGCACCCCCTGCTCGTTGCTTCCAAGTCATTTTTACTTGGATGGCTCTGCCCTGCCTTCAGCTCCCTCCTCTGTCCATAAATCAAACGTCACCAGCAGACTCCAAAGGCATTGAACTCACAGAGGGAGAGGAGTCGCAGCAAATTCACTGCAGATTTCTGCCCCTGTGCTTGCACCAGACACAAAAATCTCCTCCTGGCCCCTGCAGCACCCACCCTCTGCAGCCTGGAGGCAGCTGCTGAGGAGAAAACCAGAGCGGCTGCCTGTGGGACGATGGGCTGAGCACAGCCCTTTCAAACTGCCCACCAAAAAGCAGTGGCTTTACCCCCTGCCCGCAGCCATTCCCGGTGGCTCTGGTGTGCTCGGGTCTGCCAGCCCCGAGGGCACAGACAGCAGCAAATGGAAGAAATGAGGGAAGAGATGAGCCCTGGTGCTTCCCAAGTGAGCACAGCACAACACCCCCTGCACCAGTGGGCAGCCATGAAATCCATTAACATGTCCTCACCTCCAGCAGACGACAGCAAGCGAGAGGTGAAGGGGGCAATGAATCTCACCCGGTCCCTGCAGAGGCCCAAGCAGACCTGAGCTGATGAACAAACACACAGGAACATCACCCCCAGGCATGAACCAAAATCACACAAGCAGCTTACCAGTTTTTAAACAGCAGCTCTGTAAACCTAACTTTTCAATGAAGAACAAATACCAGAGGAAACTTCTGCCCATTCCCTGTTTACTTCAGCTCGGCACCGTTTTCAGAACAGAATCGAGAGGGAACTCCACATTTAAACCCCGAAGATCAGCACACGGAGCTGCTGCCGCTCTCTGTCAGGAGGGAGCCGGGTCTCTCTGAGCAGCTCCTGTCGACAGGGACCATCCCAACGCTGTTCCCCATCAAAGCCGTTTCAGTTTCAGCTCTGTAGCAGTTTTGATTACACAGAGAACGGGGTAAAACAGCCAGAGAACACAGCTCTAACACCGTGAAAGCTTGAAAACCTCTTCTCCATCTTTGCATTTCTTCCAGCGCAGATACAATAAAAAAGACACAGAATAAGCGTTATGGGGAGGATGGATCAGACAATGTATTTATCATCCTGTCCTGAGAACAGTCTGACAAACTGTTGTATTTCAAAGGGTTAATCATGTAACAAACCAGACAGGCATTTGGGAATTTCAGCAGCAGAGAGGTCAGCACACACTGGGGTTGGTTTCTCAGACTACAGCAGCTGTGACACAGCCGACAGACACCAGCACTGGTGCTCCAGCTTTCATCTTTTTTTTCTTTTTTTCCTGTTTTATTACCCTGACAAAACCCATCGACCTTATTAAACAAGGCCATCAAGGCCATTTCCTGACCACGCAGGCACACGGTGCCCAGCTTCACCAGCTCGCAGAGCCGCCCCGGAGCCTGAAGTCCTACGGGGATCCCGGTACCAAGCCGTATTTCTGTCTCAGGATGTCAACTGTCGCTGTCAGTGCACTGCGGGGTGAAACAGAACCGTCAGAAACAGGCTTCAGGGATTAGAAAAGGGGTCTCCTTTGCAGGAGAACCAGGATTTCTGAGCACGCTGGTAATTAAGCTGAACATGAATGTGCAGGTTCAACTGCCGTGGGAAAACACGACCCTCCCTAACGGGAAAGCTCCATTTCACTTGAAGTAAAGAAAAAGCTACGGTTGTGTCCCGCAGGGCGCTCACCAGCCAGGACGAATGATGGTGAACTTCCCCGGCACAGACAAGTCCACCACAGTCGACCCCAAGCGGCACTCGGGGCTCTGGACGTCCCCTGTTGGGCCTCCATCGATGACCAGGGACAGCTGAGGCCACAGGTCCTGGAACTCCTGAAAGAGAGAGGTGGCTGGCAGCCCGGAGGAGGTTTGTGATGGCGCTGTCACAGGCACTGCTGCACGCCCTGGTGCTGCCAGAGGCGGCCGCTCCCCTCTCAGGTCCCCCACTGTGCTCCTGTCATGGACGCCCCAGTTTGACTTCTGAGAGCAGATTTATCTCAGATATGCAGGAAAGCCACAAGGATTCTCCAGCTGAAGGATTCTCAGCTGCACCAAAAGGAGGGCACACAAAAAGCCAGAAGTCTGCCAAGACATCTGGGGGCGAGGACGGGCACCTGCCTGTCACTGTGCACATCTACACCACCTCCAGGGCCACAGGCTTTGCAGAACAACACCTGCAGTCCAAGTTAGTTCCCCTGCAGCAACTTCCATCGTTCAGATCTGGCACCCACTTGAAAAGCTCTGTACAAACCTTTAAACGACTTTTGAGCTCTGCTCTCCTCACTTTTTAAGGCGAGGATCACAGCAAGACAGCTACCCCACACCACGTACCCACAGGCTCTTTTAACCAGAGATTAGAGTTTTAAGAAATAGCAGCAGCAGAGAAATCCTCGTTTCATTGCTAAAGTTGGCTTCCAATTGCGAGAGCCCAGGGCTCTGGCAGCCACAGTAATGCCACTAACGGCAAAACAGCCTTACCGCAACGGTCAGGGTGCTGGCCTGGCAGCTGACATTGGCGCTGGTCAAAGCCAGGGGTCCAGAGCACGCTCGCGCCAGCTCCCTAACGAACGGGTGGTTCGGAACACGAACACCAACCAGCTACGAGGAAGAGGAGAGCACGGTGTCATGTGCAGCAGCTGCTTCTAACCCCGCATTGCCTAAAGCCCAGGAGACTTGAAGCGGACAGAGATTCAGCACATCAACACCGGCTGAACTGGCAATAACACGGGAGGTGCCTTTGTGAGTCAGCCCCTAACACCGCGTCCAAATAAGTCACAGGGAGCGCCACAGCACAGGGACCAGCTCCAGGAACACAGCAACCACTGCCGAGCAGCTGAGCCACACGTAACAGTAAAAGCTACGACAGGCAGAAGCACAAAAACAGCAGCGCCACATCCAGTGGTAAAGACCTACCGAGGTGAAGGGGTTCAGGTCTTTATTGAGCTCCTCTGAACGCGTCAGGACCAGGGTCACAGGCCCTGGGAGCAGGTCCCGCAGCAGCTCGTCGGG